AGCTCGGATGATGCTGTGCCACCTCGCAAGAAGCGTTTAATGTGGCTACCGCTCCCTCAGGCTCACTCGGCTGCACCGCCGTTCGGACCTCGACGTCTACTACATGGGGTTTTCTCGTCCTGCGCGACCCCGGTCGATGCGGGCACACCTTCTGGGGCAGCGGGATGCATTATATTTCCCCCTTCGTGCCCCGACAAACCCTACATCGGACAGCCAGGCACGGTGCATCAGGCCTACTCGCTTGCCTTGCAGCAGCAGATCACTGAGTGGATCAGGCTGGCACGTCTTGCAGCCCCCCACTCTTCCTCCCTTGGCGAGGTTTTGCGTTCGCCTAAGGCCGACGCTCACCTGGCCAAGATGGTCTCCGCCTTTGCTCCGTCTACATTGGCTGCCTACCTGTCAAAATGGAGGCACTGGCTGCGTTTTGCATCTGCTAGCGAGATTAGTCCCTACATTCCGGACATTAACATCCTGCTGGACTTCCTCGCCACTAACTCGCGGGGGCGTTTGCAGACGGCCACCACCTGGATCAAGGCCATGCGCTTTGTCAGTCGGCGGGCAAACTTGGATGCCCTGCGCTCAGCCTTGCATTCTGATGTCGTGTCAGCCTATGCCAGATCGGGATCCATTGTGGAGCGTCGTGAGAGTGCTCCACTACCACTCAGTTTTGTTCTCTTCCTAGAGCGGAGGGTCTTGGACTGCTCCATCTCCATACAGCAGCGCGTTCTGGCTGGGGCCTTTCTACTCTGCATCTTCGCCTCTCTCCGTTTCTCTGACGCTCTGTGGTGTCCACCGGCCAGACTCTGCATCACGGGTGACTGTCTCCTATCAGTCTGCCTCAAGACCAAGACCACGAGGCGCTCTATGCCGTTTGGAGCGGTTGCGGGCGGCTTTCTGCATCGCGGTGCATCTGGCTGGGCTCATGCCTGGCTACATCTTGTGCAACTGTCGCTGCAGGCGACGGCGATGCTTCATCCTAACTTCACGCCTGACTTTCTGCTGGCAAAGATGGGTGATGACCCGGCCCGTCCATTGTTTCTTGCGCCCATGTCGCGCTCTGAGGGTGTGGTGTTACTCAGGCGACTTTTCTATGAGCGCTATCAGAACACACCTGCATCCTGCCGACCGGAGCCAGATCTCCTTGGTGTCCATTCTCTGAAGGTTACCCTTCTCAGCTACGGTCGCCAACTTCTCATTCGAGAGGATCTACAGCGTCAGCAGGGTCATCACCGAGCTTCCATTGCCGGCATGTCTGATCTCTATGGTCGTGACGACGTGGCTGGCCCCTTGGAGTTCCAACGCCAGGTGGTTGGAGCGGTTCTCGAGGGCTTTCGCCCACGTCGTCCCCGCTTGCGGGGCGGGCTTCCGCCTACAGCGGACATTGACATTCAACTGCCTACGGTGCCTGGTTCATCAGACATGCCCGCGATCGAGGCCAATCCTGTCCCCCCGCCTGAGATACATCCAGTGGCTCCGACGATGATGCCGCTGCCCCCGCATCGCCTATTCCATTGCCTCCACCTACCCAGGAGCTTCCAGAGGCCGTTGCCGAGGCCCTCTCAATGACAATGGAACCTTTGCCACCTGATGCTTCCTCTTCATCTGGTGTGGCTGAGGATTGGACGGAGGTTCATGGTCCAGCGGACGAATATTTCTTCCTGCTGAATGGTGTCTCACGCATTGCACACAAAGCGCAGCCTTGCTGCTCCTCTCACCCTGCATTCCAGGTGAAAGTGGCCCACCTGCAGAGGTCTTTCCGTGCAGGGTGTAGCGTTCGCGGTGTGGAATCACTCCAATTCTCAGAGTTTGTGCCTGAAGGCTTTCGTCTGTGCTTAAAGCGCGGCTGTGTCCTGGACTAACCTCCAGCCGATCCAGCAAAGCAGTTGCCTCGAGCTCCTGCCCGCGCTCGCTTTGTCTGTTTCCGCATTACCTGCCGGCTCATTTACAGACCACCTTGCATTGAAGTTGGGGTTTTTGGCTCGAACTTCAATTTTTTTCCGGTTTCTGCGGTCATGGATACATCCTCCAGTTATGACAGTGACTCCGCGAGTACCTCGTTCTCGTCTAACTTTCATCATCCACTGGAGGACCTTCCGGCCGCCCCGCGACGACCTGACGTGGTTCCTCTGGCCAGACAGGCCATCCTTGCTGCTATCTCCGATTCATCTTCGGAGAAAAACATCACAGCCAAAAAAATATGTATCGCGATTACCGCTCGGTTGCGTCCATGTCTGCAGTCGACCTGGTTTACTGTACTGGTCTCCCCGAAGCCCACGTTAAATCGTACATCATACACTTCGAAGGGAATGGCTTTCCTCACTGCCTAGCAGTGAAACTGGACAGTCAGGGCACACATGTCACCGTGTTGGAGGGTGCAACGGTGTATAAGATGTCCATGGCAGCGCTGCGGGATTTCTATCATGCCGCAGTGGACGGGTCGACTATTGTGTCCTACTGGAAGAGGGATCCCAATGACAAATTGTGCGATAAGTTCACCCTGCTACTCGACATGGTCGCAGGCGCAGACTGTGACGATTCTGACGAAGAAGCAGATGTACTGAGAGGTGATGGAGATGGCCACATGAAATTATCACAGGATGAGGACGAGCCTGTCATATGTGATAATATTCTTGAATCGCTTTGCCAAGAAGTTGCCGACATTCGGAACACTTTGCAGGAAAAGTCTGTTCGGCAAGGGGGTCGACGGCAATGTCCTATGTGCCCATTTCGATCTTTCTCCCAGATGCGTTTGCTACGAACACACATTGACAAGCATCACAGCAAGAAAAATCAGTATGTATGCTCTGGCACAAAGCAAATTAAAGTAATTATAAATCTGCACGACCATGCGGCCTCGTCGCAAGACGTCGCAAAGTCTCTGTTACAATCAAGTGCAGCATTGATGCGGGCCACCGTGCAGCCGGACCTGAGTTTCAAGAAGAATAACATCGACAAGCAAATCAGACTGGTTCTCGATGCAGATGGCCCCTACTATATCAACCTGGCAAGTATCGGGTCCATCGTGCACGTGCGAAGGGTTAGATATCTATACTACACGCATTCCTTTGCTGATTTGCTGATTAGAGAGATGGTGATGGGTCACGCACAGGCAACTTGAGTCCACTAGTACTGCGCTTAGCGACCTGATGCTTGTGTAAACAGCGTATTTTCAGTGAAGGAATAAGAAATTTTCATGTTATTATGTATGTTGCAGCAAGAAGGTGCGAACTTTCTCGACACGATGCCATATGGCAGCTCTAGAGACAGGCAATAAGCTTTCGACTCTCCTCCCGAGTCGATCACAGCACTGGATGCCCCTTCTTGAGGATGTGGCGGCCTCTTCCGCTTTTCGAGGCAAAATGGAGAGGATGATGGGTTCATGGCTCAGAAGAGACGAGTGGCACTACGTGAGCATGGACGCCACACTTAAGCTCTGCGTGAAGGTGATGGGACAAGCGCCATATCGAGCTTCGAAAAAAATCAGGGAAGAAGCTCCCTTTGGGGACGAAGTCGCATGGCGGCGGCTGCTGACAGTCAGAGGTAGGACAGGGGCTGTCCTCCTGATGCAGCCGATTCAGAATGAATCGTCTGAGCAGATCGCAGAAACCCTTAGAGACAACTTCTCAGAGGAGCAGCTGATGTCCATACGACATGTCGGCACGGACAGTCCATCCGAGAAATTGCTCTCAGCACTGGCTGAAGTATGTCCTAGGCTTCAGTCGCTGACGCTGGACCCAATTCATTTGGCTATTGTGTACGAATATGGGTTCTGGAACAAGAAAAGCCCTGGGTCTAAACAACTTCGCCGCATTCTTAGAAAGTGCACTGCCGTGGATTCCTCTCTGCCAGTCGAACACTGGCATGATGTTTATGATCGTAGCATGGCTAGACCACTGACTGAGGAAGAGAACATTTGCAGAACCTCAATACTGGAGTTCTCGATGTCTCAGAGTGAGACTTCAGGGATCTTAGACAATATGGACGAGGATGTTCCATTTAGAGATCGTCTGGAATTTATCAAGGCCATTGCAGCTCTGTGCTGCAAATACAAGTCCGAGGTTGTACGCAAAGCGGCAGGACCGAACAAGGAGATCTACCGCATCCTTTGGTCTGCCTGTGCGCCAGACCGCATGGAGTGGCTCATGAACAACATCAGGATAAGACATGCCATGCCATCATCCTACTTGTGGTTTCTGCCAAGCGGGACAGCTAGTAATGAGGCATTGCATGCTGAAATTAATTCGTGGACCCGGAGCATAAATGTCATGCACAGATCGACATTGGCTCTAAAGCTGCAATATTTCATGTATATCAAGGCTTTGCAACACCACCTGGCCACTGAATTTCCTTTGTCCAGAATTGTAAGTGCCAGCATGCTGTTGGGTAGAGCCCTTCACGAGTCTCTGTGGAGTTCCGAGGAATGGAATGCCTGGTGTGCCGAACAGCACACGTCAGGCATCCAAGCCAAAGCAAATCTTCCTCTGGCAAAGGCACGTCATCATGAAGCCAGACTGGTCAAGAAGTGGGTCCGCCGAAAACCAGCCACTGCATCTGCGAAAAGCAAAGGTCGCAGTCGGCATCGGACACCACTGTCCGTTCCACGTGTTCATACAATGCGTACCGCTGGCGTGAAGCGTTCAGCGACGGACTAAATCATATCTCGCCTCACCTGGGTAAGAAAGGAAGTCAGTGTGCAGCAGGACATGTCGGACAATGCAACATATTGCACATATCAATCTTGTGTTCTGACAGGAGGCCGACACGCCATGTTGAGAGCAAGACGAGGTCGGGAGGATCCGGATTACTAGGCCTGGACATGTTCAGTGTCGGGACTACAGTCTGGATTGTTGTGCTGCAGTGTTCAAACATTGTAATCCTCACGCAACTCAACCCAGACTTCAGAAACTGCATATACACCCACAAGCTGCCGTGCTAGTTCGAGAGCTAGTATTCTAGCAACCAGGAGGATTTACCCATTCCCGTCTGCATAGACAGACCAAGGATTTTCTCTCTCGAGACAATGAGTCATGCGTATCAGCCTAGAATGGAACCCAGTGGTTACTACATGCCTGTCTGCGATGACTTGTCAGCCAACCACTACAGCGACAAGCTCTGTGCGGTGAGCATTTAAGTCATACCTTCTGTGTCGCTAACATTGTCCTCCTCACGCAATTCAACTCAGACTTCAGAAACTGCATATGCACCCACAAGCTGCCGTACTAGTTCGAGAGCTAGTATTCTAGCAACCAGGAGGATTTACCCATTCCCGTCTGCATAGACAGACCAAGGATTTTCTCTCTCGAGACAATGAGTCATGCGTATCAGCCTAGAATGGAACCCAGTGGTTACTACATGCCTGTCTGCGATGACTTGTCAGCCAACCACTACATCAACAAGCTCTGTGCGGTGAGCATTTAAGTCATACCTTCTGTATCGAAACAAATCACGTGAGTCTGTGTTTGCTAAAAATTTAATGTTCCAATCACTACTTCAACTAACTCTGTGTGGTGAGTATTTATGTCATATCATCCGTATGCAGCCGTATCATGTGATGCAATGTCAGCTAAACTGCTACTGTTCTAACGAACAGGAGTATTGAGCCATTCCAGAGTGCATGGACAACTAGACGACAGTCTCACCACTGGATAGCGAGGGTTCGGGTTGACACGCAGAGGAATACAAGGAATACCTAGCATCACATGGGTATGACGTATCCACCAATCACTACTTTCACATGATGGGTGAGTTGAATATGTATGAAATTATATATGTTCTGTACTAGCATACTATCAATATTCATGATAGTATTAACAGGAATAGTACTACCACAATGATGATATATACTAAACTTAGACAGTTGTTTACCAATGTCAGTACATTGAACAAATTCTGTATTGATTTCCATGCATGAGATCGACTGAAACCTTTCGGGTTTATGTTTGTGCATTTGACAACATGCTTACGTATTATTTAGCTAAGCGTTTGTTATTGTATATTTAAAAATCTAGTTAAATAGACCCTAAAGGTATCGGGCTCATATATGTATATATATATATATGCATATGCTACCCCCCCTTGGGTTATCCACCCGTTGCGGGGGAAAGGAGGGGTTGGACCGAATGGTCCGTTTGGCGAGCCGCGGTGCGGCATCTGGATTTCGGAACTCCTTGAACGAATCGAAGCTTGTTTAGTAGGGATACATACAGAGAACAGAATACCTTATAGAATACCTTGATACATACCCTATAGAATACCTTCTGCCTTATAGAATACTTTGTACAGGTCCCCCGATACGTACATATACATTAGACAATACCATCTGGTACCCTGTTGAATACCTTATAAACGACCGCCTGTATATGATAACCCCTGTATACCTTAAATATGCCATATTGAATACTTACAGAATACCTATAGAATACCTTGTAGGATTCTCTCCAGAATCACTTATAGAATACCCTATAGAGTNNATAGGGATTCTAAATATTGAAAACCATCGAAACTGAAGATCTGAGAAGTCCTCAGTTGATCTGTAGCTTATGGGCAAGGGGTTCCTACGATTGAAATCAGGAACCAGGACGAATAGCCTTACAACTACCTTATAGCAGGCCTTACAACTACCTTATAGGAATACCCCATTTTACCTTTTGAAGATCTGAGAAGTCCCCAGTTGAACTGTAGCATATGGGTAAGGGGATCATATGAAGGAAATCAGGAACCCAGACGAATAGCCTTACAACTACCTTATAGAAGGCCTTACAACTACCTCACAGAATATCCCCTCTGTATTTTCGAGATACTCGTATGGATAACCTACAGAAAACCTTTGTGAATGTAGGCTACAGAATACGTTTCGTAAAACACGCTATGGAGTACCTTACAGAATACCTTATAGAATGCCCGATAGTACACCATTCGGAACACTCTGTAGTAGAGTACTTTACAGAGGACCGCCAGTGTTGTGTACCCACTGT